TGTGCTGCAAATAAACAATAGGTTCAGATAGTTTTCGGCCTTAAAGTGTAAATTACCACCATACTATCAACTGATCTTGGCAGCCAATTAAATCAAATAAATGTTGTCTCAATGCATTAGGAAGAAATATGAATTAATCCAAAAACAGAATCCATTAAAGTGGAAGATTTTTCAGGATATAAATGGAAGTAATTAAGGCCATGGTTCTTTTCATATTGTGGATGGCTTTCCAGTTATCGTCACCGAATGGAGAAAGGGGATTTGCCTCCATTGCTAGAATAGCTGCTGCAAACCTATGCAAATATGCTCAGAAGTACATGTCATTAAGTTCAGTGCTCTTTATTGCCAAAACCTCGGTGGAACATTGTTCTCCAAGATCAGCAGGCAGACAACACATTCTGATTACTCTGATTATGACTATGTACTTGTTTATGCTAATTCACTTCATTGGGTTCTAGAGATAAGCAGAGAATGGGCAGGGTAATCTACTGCTTGTATTATTATTATTATTATTATTATTATTATTATTATTATCATTATCATCATCATCATCATCATCATCTAGTATTTTATTTATTTGCTGATTTCATTATTTTAATATAACCCACATGGAGAGTTTTCACTGACGGGTGACATGGAAATTGCCCAAAAAAATATCCCCTGGTATTTGACATTCTAAGTACATTTGATCAAGTTGGTTGCAGCAACTCGTAGGGTTCTATTTGTATCATCTATGGCATCATAAGAAGAAGACCCAAAGCCCATCTTGTCCAGCATCCCATTCTCGCAGTGGCCAACCAGATGTCTATAGGAAGCCTTCAGGCAAGACCTGAACACAACACTTTCCCCCAGGAGTTCCAGCTTGGCACCAAAATTTGCGGGGGAATTTTGTGGGTGCTCAGGCACCCAGGGCCCCAGGGGGTTGGCGCTTATGCTTCCCTCTCCTGTGGTTTCCAGCAATTGGTATTTAGAAGCGTACTGCCTCCAACAGAGGAAGGAGCATGCAACCACTGTGGCTAGTAGACATTAATAGCTTTCTCCATGTATTTGTCTAACCCTTTTCTTTCTTTTTCTTTTTCTTTTTCTAATTTTATTTTATTTCCATGCTTATTACATACAAAAAAAAGGGAACAATACCGAAAAGGGGGTACAACTTAAGAGGGGAGGGGAAAGGAAAGAAAATGAAATTTACACAATCTGTTATTAAGATAAAAATTATGACAAAAATTTATGATTACAATTTCATGTTACAATAAACGTAAAAAATCTCATCTTTTATACCCAACTTCCCATTTATTCCTTAATTCTTTTTACATAAATTTACTGCCATATCAAAATACTATTTTTATGTTACTATTTTCACAATTTATAAATGTTTATATTTATATAAGCAATTAATTACTTTCGGCTCCTTTGTACATTTTGGCTAATTTCCGTGGAGTTAAATACTGCCAGTGTTGTCTAACCCTTTTCTAAAGCCATCCAAGCTGCTCACCATCATTGCCTCTTGTGGGAGCTAATTCCATAGATTCCCGATGAACTGTTTGAAGAAGCACTTGCTTTTGGTACCTGGGAACCCCCCTCCCCTGCCATACACACACCGGTACCGTACTTTTAAGTCACATCCACGTGAGAGCCCAAGATGTGCTGGGGCACCCTTCTGTCCCCTTCTCCCCACCTCCTCCCCCACACCTATGGCCTACTCTCTTTCTCACTCCCTTGCATCTCCACTGCAGACAAAGGGGATGGATGAACTTTCTCCACCAACAAGGATGAGCTGTTGGCAGCGCAAGACGCGTGCGAGCCCTGGAGTAAGCAGCCAGGTCCCGAGGGCAGCAGCCAACGAGCCCAGATGGCTGGCTTCAGTTAATTGGTGCTTTATTTTTAAATTTGCAGTCAACATCACACTACTCCATCCCTTAATTGCACAGTCTAAAATAAACAAAGGGCTTTAAGTTTCGCCTTTCCTCTCTTGCTCCACCTAGCCTTCTCTTTCCCTTGCGCTCCATTTCAAAGTAAGGCTTCGGATGTCTGACATGCATTCATTTACGTAGATGATAGAAGTGGGGAGTGTTGAAGGAAGGGGAGATGTCTTAAGTGCCTGATATATAGCTTCTTGGCTTGTGGTCAACCATTCCATCAGCCGTTTCCAGGAAGAGCACCCCATCTGGAGCACCAGGAGCCAAAAGAACAATTTGGTTGGTGTCTTGGGGCCAGCTTTAAACCAGTTCAAACTAATCCACCACATAGTGTCTGGGTCATATTGCTTCTGCTAGGATGCTGCTGCTTTCTTTCCAGGTGGGAGGTATTATGAATCATCCCGGGATTGGAAGGTAAAATTTATTAGTCATCTTTGCTCCCTCAAGAAGACCAGTGGAGGAGAATTTGCCTCCCACGGTGGCACCAGCTGCATAGTTAGATCCAGACTCACACACGCCACAAGCCAAGAAAGCACACTTTTCAGAGTCCAAAACAAGAAATGATCTCACCAGGAAGGGATGAAAGATGGATCTTCTCAGTAAACTCTTACCCATATCTGGTCATGAACTTCCTTACACAGCCTTCCAGCCATCTCAGGAGTGTTAGAAGGAGCTTCACAGTGACCCTGTTAAGGAACAGTCTGGCAGAATGGGGCCATGGACAGGAGCCAGGGTACCCATTAATTTGTATGGCAGCCTGAGATGTAAGAAGGCAGTTATTTCTACTGACCTGTATTCATCACAACCAGGCCTTTTTCAGTTCTGCTGCACTTCTGGACTTCATTACAGTCCCAATGAAATTATTTGAGTGCCTCACCATGAGCAGCACCCCACACTTAAGGAGGCTTGGGGAATAAAGATTTCAGGATATCTGGTGTCCAGAGAAAGGCTTTGGGTGTCCTGGGGAAATTACATTTACCAGGTTCCTTGATACTAGGAAAGCTGCTAATGCAGTGTTGAAGATGCCACGGAGGGAAGCTGATCAGATCAGATTATAATCTAAACCAAAAAGGAGGCACATGGATTAATGACTCTGTAAAACTGCTAGCACATTTGCAAAGCTAAGCAGGTCCAGTATGGTTTCGAATCGGACGGGGGACTGTATGTTGAGATCCTTGCTTTGCAGGGGGGGTTGAACCTTGGGGTCCCTTCCAACTCTACAATTCTGCAAACTTCAACAACATTTCTGTGTGGAACACTTCTGAGAAATCCTGCTGTCAGCATGATTCCAGCTTTCTTCAAAATTCCTCAGATGTTTTGCCCGAGGAGCAGCCTCTAGAGTCCATTGAAAATCCGTTCTCTTGTGAATTTCAGGTGACAACTGTAATGAACTGCAGAACCCCCCTGAGAACTTCCTTCATTTTTACCAAAACTTGTCAGGCTTCCCTTTGAAATTTCTTGGGTGCATCTACAGCGGAAGACCCTCTAGATTCCCTTTCAATGTTGCTTTATGACAGACAAAAGAAAATCCTTCTTCACAAAGCACAGTTAAGCTATGGTATTTGCACCCACAAGAGGGAGTGATGGGCACCAATTGAAAAGAGGATTAGACAAATTTATGAATGATAAAACTTTCAGCAGCTACTAACCACAATGGCAATGTTCTACCTCCACTGTCATAGGCACTATGCCTTTGAATATCAATTGTATTGGGTTGCAAGTGTGAAGAGTTCTGTTGCATTCAGATGTTTCTTGTAGAAGAAGAAGAAGAAGAAGAGTTTGGATTTGATATCCCGCTTTATCACTACCCAAAGGAGTCTCAAAGCGGCTAACATTCTCCTTTCCCTTCCTCCCCCACAACAAACACTCTGTGAGGTGAGTGAAGCTGAGAGACTTCAGAGAAGTGTGACTAGCCCAAGGTCACCCAGCAGCTGCATGTGGAGGAGCGGAGACGCGAACCCAGTTCCCCAGATTACGAGTCTACTGCTCTTAACCACTACACTACACCGGCTCTCATAGGCATCTGGTTGGCCACTGTGAAAACAGGATGCTGGATTATATGGGCCTTTGGGCTGATCCAGCAGGGCTCTTCTTGTGTTCTGAATACCAGTCATTGGGTTCATTAAGCAAAAGAGAGCTGTTGCCTTCATGTCCTGCTAAGAGCTTTTCAGAAGCATCTGGCTGGCCCCTGCTGGAACAAAGGATGCTGGCTGGAGTTGGCAGGCAAAAATATAATGCATCTTTCTTGGTTGCTTTCATGAATACAGTGGTACCTCTGGATACGAACGCTTCTGGTTGCACATGCGTCAGGTTACGAACTGTGCTAATCTGGAAGTAGTTGCTCCAGGTTGCAAACTTTGCCCTGGGATGAGAGCGGAAATCATGCACCAGGAGGCACACTTTTGCTAATGGTGCCTCATTTTAAGAACAGTTTCAGGATAAGAAGAGATCTCCAGAACGAATTAAGTTTGTAAACAGAGGTACCACTGTATATGCATTATTATATACAATTCCACCTGATACGCACATACTGTATTATCCACACTGATTGATTGGAGAACTGCATTGCAAAATTCAGAGAAGTGCAAATTTCAAAGTATGACTGTGTTTCATAGAATCATAGAAAAGGGATGCGGGTGGTGCTGTGGTCTAAACCACTGAGCCTCTTGGGCTTGCTGACTGGAAGGTCAGCAGTTCGAATCCCTGTGATGGGGTGAGTTCCTGTTGCTTTGTCCCAGCTCCTGCCAACCTAGCAGTTTGAAAGTACGCCAGTGCAATCAGATAAATAGGTACTTCTATGGTGGAAAGGTAAACAATGTCTCCATGCCCTCTGGCTTCCACCATGGTGTTCCATTGTGCCAGAAACAGCTTAGTCATACTGGCCACATGACCAGAAAACTGTATGTGGACAAACGCCAGCTCCCTCAGCCTGAAGCGAGATGAGCGCCACAACCCCATAGTCGCCTTTGACTGGACTTAACCATCCAGGGGTCCTTTACCTTTACCTTTACCATAGAATGGTAGAGTTGGAAGGAACCAGGAGAGTCATCTAGACTGACCCCCTGCAATGCAGGAAACATTTGCCCAACATGGGACTCGAAGCCACAGCCCTGAGATTAAGGATCTCGTGCTCTCCTTACTGAGCTATCCTGGCTCATGAAATGTTTTGGGAAGTGTGGATCTGGTAGATTCTCCTTCAGATGAGGACTGAATCAAATTTCTCCCCCATCCCTTCTCTGCTCGTAGCTTCCCTGCCTGCAGAACCCCTGAACAAGGTCTCCTAATAAGCATAATCCCATGGCTGGAAGAGCTTTCGAATTCGCTTGTTTCCCAACAATATGTTTGTTCTACTGTTTTACTGGAATGGGGCGTTTGGAAACAGAACATGCTCCACCAAGACAGCAGCCAGCTAGTAGACAATCCTGTCCCATTCCACTCCCTAACCCCCCAATTTTATTGAAATTGGCTCTCGAAAAAAGATAAGAACATTGACATCCATACCAGCAAGCATCAAACTTTGGGGACACGCACGTTGCCCATTAGATGGTTCCAGAGCATTGTTCTTCCTTGGAAGCCACAGTTGGCTGCAAATGTACAAGCTTCCCCAGACGATTTCAGCTCATTTGACAATCCAGATTATAAAATTGGCAGCAAACCAGAGACAGGCTGGTGGTGTGTGGGGGGGGGGGAGAGAGTTGACTGTGCATAATTAAGGCCTTTGCTTCTTCCTTTCCAATTCCCCTTTTTTTTGCTGAGGGGACGACACTTGTACAAAAGACACACAAAGATACAGGCCTCGGATGTGCAGGAGTTCATTTAAGAAAATACACCTTTCAACATATAATTCCCTTTGACTCTTCTTTCTCCTCCTCCCTCCCTCCCTCCCTCCCTCCCTTCTCTGTCTTGTTCAGGCTCATTATCTCTTGCTTTCCCTTGTATGGTTTCCTCTGAATCTGAGCTCACAATGACTCATTTGGGGAGCAGGGCGGAGGGGGTGCGGAGACTAAACTACCATGCTAGACTCTGTCCCCAGGGCAGCTTGACAATACTGCCTATTATCTGGCATCTTGAAAGGCTGACTTAAAGGCATGAGTTCGTCAAACACACTTCCTTTCATCCTTTCACCTCCAGGGATGCAAAGCAGAGAGGGGCACAGACAGCAGCATCGCTTGCCTTTTCTTAAAGCAGCAGCAGAGAATTACTTAGGCCCCATCTGTGCTACACATTTAAAGGATGGCGGTGCCACTTTAAGCAGCCATGGCTTCCCCCAGAGATTCCTGGGAACTGTACTTTCTTAAGAGGGTTGAGAAGTGTTAGGAGGCTTCTTTTCCCTTCACAAAGCTGCAATTCCCAGAGTTCCCTGGGAAGAGGGATTTATTGTTAAACCATTTGGAAATGTGTAGGTCTGTAAGTGGAATTTTTTTTGGGGGGGCGGCAGTTCTCCTGACAACACACCCTCCAATATTTCTCTGATGGGAACAGGGGTGTCCTAAGGAAAAGTGGGACATTCCAGGATCAAATCAGAAACCTGGATGGCTTCTGTAAAATTTCAGTCAGTTTATTAATTCTTCGGCCATAGGTCATTCACATGCGAGATAAATAAATACAATACAAAACCCAACAGTATAAAATCCTGCATAAAAGACTGCATAAAATCATGTTGCTGCATGTTGTTGTTTAGTCGTTTAGTCGTGTCCGACTCTTCGTGACCCCATAGACCAGAGCACACCAGGACCAGAGCACGCCAGGCACTCCTGTCTTCCACTGCCTCCCGCAGTTTGATCAACCTCATGCTGGTAGCTTTGAGAACACTATCCAACCATCTCATCCTCTATCGTCCCCTTCTCCTTGTGCCTTCCCTTCATGGATCACTGTCTTGCCATGATGAAGGGGCTTGAATAACTCAGAGAAGCTATGAGCTACGCCGTGCAGGGCCATCCAAGATGGACAGGTCATAGTTTTGACCAAACGTGAGCCACCTGGAAGAGGAACCGGCAAGCCACTCCAGTATCCCTGCCAAGAAAACTCCATGGACATGTTGCTGCCTAGAATCATACATAAAATCTACATCTTTGAAGTACAGTCGTACTTTGGATCTCGAATGCCCTGGAACTTGGACATTTTGGCTCCCCAGTGCTACAAATAGTATCTCGGGTTGAGAACTTTGCTTCAGGATGAGAACAGAAATCGTGTGGTGGCGGCAGCAGGAGGCCCCATTAGGTAAAGTGGTGCTTCAAGTTAAGAACAGTTTCAGGTTAAGAACGGACCTCCGGAACGAATTAAGTTCTTCACCCGAGGTACCACTGTATTTCAATGAAGGACGAAGGGAGGGGGAGAAAATGACAGGGCAGGCAAATAATGTCAAGCAAGAGGTAAAGATGCAAAAGGCTAACAAAGCAAGAAGCGAAAACAGTTGATCTTTCCTGCAGAGGTAAAGACCCATGTCAAACTGGGCAGAGGCAGGGCAGATCCGGAAGGCCAAGGGTGGCGTGGCTCCCTGTCTGTGTGTCACAAAAGCAGCCCCTCGTCCTCACAGACACAGATCTCTCTCTCTCTCTCTCTCTCTCTCTCTCTCTCTCCAACAGGATTGCCAGCTGGGCTCTGATGCAGACAGAGCCAGGAGACAGATGGGGGCAGAATCATAAGGCTGGAATGGATCCCACTGCCACTTCCAGAGAAAGACTAAGCAGAAGCTGTAGATCCCTTCTGGCCTTTTTCTTCTGCCTTCACCTCTCTCTGTTTGCTTCCCTTGATCCCAAGTCCTTTGAAACATATGGGTGCACCTGGGCAAACCCAGCACACCCCCTGGACCTGCCTATGGCTACTTAAGCAATATGGCTCACAGCCTGGACACCGGATATAGGAGCAGGTGACAGGGACAGGCAGCGCTGTGCAGTGACCTAACAGGTGTCGTCTGGAGGAAGATGGGAAGGGACAAGATGGCAAGAATATTGGCACAACAGTTTCATCTGGTTTTTGCTCTCTGACACTCTTAGCTGCTTTCTGTTGGACAGTTAAACATTAATATTTCCCAGGGGAAGGAAGGAAGGAAGGAAAAGAAAGAAAGAAAGAAAGAAAGAAAGAAAGAAAGAAAGAAAGAAAGAAAGAAAGAAAAGAACTCAGACTGACTATAAGAATGTTGGTTGCCTGGAAGCCGTGCATTATTCATGGGTTCTAGCATCTTCTGTTTTCTTTAGTTCTTTATGAATCCTGTTTAAATGAAGCTTTTTTTAAAAAAAAAAAAGGAGAGTGCTGCATTTCATTTGTCTGAGTTTAAACCTTGAATACACCTCTTTCATTTCCTTTATTGATCGTCGCCAAAATTGCAAATATAAATTACAGCAGCAGCAAATTAAATGTCCTAATGACTGTATTTAAAAAGAGCACAGCACTGTCAATAGCAGATTGGATAAGACACAGAGAGAACTGGACACGACTTCAAAAATTACCTTGTAAATGCAGAAACATTTCCACACCTTGTAGGAAACCAGCAAATTCTCATTTATCCTAGACCCATAAATTAAAGTCCACTCTATGCATTACCTATTCCAGTTCAGGGGATCACTGCCACATGTGCCTAGCACTATGTTTGCCTTTCCTAGTGTTTGTTTCTCAATGCTAGTGCATTGGTGTCACTTTGGATAGGATTTCTCCTCCCAGCCAATCAGATGTCATGTAGAGAGTGTGTCACTAAGCAGCCAATCAGAGCTGGCTATGCAACATCACTAAGGAATAAAAAAAGCCAACTTGGAGGAAGGGCAAGTGTTTCCTCCTTCAACTTGCCCTTATTCTGCATAGGTACTGGAAAGGAAATAGTCTCTGCCTGGCCAATCCTACATTATGCCTTGGCAAGCCAGGGATGGTGGTGGTGGTAAGCAGTCCCATAGCTGAGAAAACAAGGATTACAGTGGCACCTCAGGTTAAGAACTTAATTCGTTCCGGAGGTCCGTTCTTAACCTGAAACTGTTCTTAACCTGAAGCACCACTTTAGCTAATGGGGTCTCCCGCTGCTGGAGCACGATTTCTGTTCTTATCCTGAAGCAAAGTTCTTAATCCGAGGTACTATTTCTAAGTTAGCAGAGTCTGTAACCTGAAATGTCTGTAACCTGAAGTGTCTGTAACCCGAGGTACCACTGTACTCCTAAGTCTGTGAGGCACCCTGTGGCACTCTATTGCATTTGAGCAGAGTGCAAAAACTTCTGGAGGAATTTTTTCATGGAGGGCTATGAAAAGTGCATGGGACGTGGGTGGCACTGTGGGTTAAACCACAGAGCCTAGGACTTGCCGATCAGAAGGTTGGCAGTTCTAATCCCCGCGACGGGGTGGGCTCCCGTTGCTGGGTTCCTGCTCCTGCCCACCTAGCAGTTCGAAAGCACGTCAAAGTGCAAGTAGATAAAGAGGTACCACTCCGGCGGGAAGGTAAACGGCGTTTCCGTGCGCTGCTCTGGTTCGCCAGAAGCGGCTTAGTCATGCTGGTCACATGATCCGGAAGCTGTACACCGGCTCCCTCGGCCAATAAAGCGAGGTGAGCGGTGCAACCCCAGAGTCAGCCATGACTGGACCTAATGGTCAGGGATCCCTTTACCTTTTATGATAAGTGCAGGGAGCCTTTAGCCATCCAGATGTTGCTGAACTACAACTTCCACCACCCCTGGCCATTGGCGATGTTTGCTGGGCCTGATGGGAGTTGTAGTTTAGCAACATCTGGCAAGCCAAAGGTCTCCCTACACCTGGGCTAGGATATTCCCATTAGCATCACACCACCACTTGGATCCTTTCTGTAGGCTTATTGGTTCCAACACTCTCCATGTAAAAAGGTTGCTCATACCCCCTTTTTTAAAATGTAGGTTGAAATGGAACATATAGATTTCTTCCTCCGCCATCTCCCAGTCCCACCATCATTGCTCCCCCCCCCCTTTTCAAAACCTCACTAAAGAGATGTCAAGCAAAGGGGTCGTCCTTCCCAAGGGCAAACCTCAAATGTCATCACTTCAGACAGAATACATTTCTCGACCGCAGAGTAATCAGAATCACTTTTCTGCATGACTGACACTTAGACCTGGGTGCACAAAGGGATCGGCTTGCCAGGTTGTGAAATTGTGGGTATAATAGCCGAGACTCTGATGCACCTGAGGAAGCGCGAAAGCATTTCAT